AAGCTACCTAGACTGTTATTCCTCAGTCTAAACCTCAGTTTGGTTTCTACACAAACAGGGTTCGCCTAAGTATAATATATATAAAATCACGGGGGCATAAATTTCCTAGCATACTCAAACATTCTGAACCAAAGGAGTCGGTTCTAGTGAGCAGTATATCGAGTTCAAATCAGCCTCTTTAATGGTGAGCCCGACAATGAATTTAACGTAGATCCCAATGCAAAAGAACATTCTACTGTAGTGCTTCCACATATATTCCAGTTCGCTTACATCTAAACTGGTTGGCCCGACGTTTCCAGGATTAATTTGATGATTCCGGCGACAAATCGAATACAACCAACCAGTTGGTAATCTCGAGGACAAATCTAACAGAACCACTAACTGGAAATCCCAACGCCGTACATCGACAAAGCAGCTCAGGAACTTAATGAATTCGCTCCATACGATTCGCTTCAGTCGCTTATTCGCTCGCCAGTGCACACAAATGATGAGCCCGACGTCGAAAACTACCACCACGAATGGTGAGCCCGTCGTTCATTCATATTACTCCCCATCTGCTTCATCGATTCATTCACTTCGTTTGCCGATTCGTCTTCACAGAAGATCAGTAAACGCTCACCACACTACAACATTGAATGAATAAACACAGATAGCAAGCAAATAAGAATAAATTGAGTAAAACTTCAGTTTGTTAAACAATGGTTACCAAGCCTAGAATATAATTATTCTTGCGCAAATCTTTATTCTTGCTCACTCTTTTCCAGATAAATGATAAAAGGAAACTAAGTGAGTATGTCATTTATTTGGGACATATTTATATGTATAGACACATATTGTTCATTTTCATAAACTGACTTATAAACTACTATCTTACTGATTCTATCAGCTTACTAACTAACTAAGACAAAAGCATGATTATAATCAAAGTACGCGACATATTCAACTCTGATAAAGAAAAATAATAAAGTGACCAGCGTATATCAGATAAAACTCATTCTGTTTCTTAATTTATCTTAGATTAAACATAAAAAGTTTCGCTTTAGTTTTTTTTTCTTGACATGACATCAATGAGAAACGATGTGTTTGATTAGATTATTGTCTGGGCCAATTTTTTTGATTTGATTCCTGTTTTTTTTTAAGCGCTTTGAATGGTGAGTGCAAAAAAACAAACAACGACAGCCATTGAATATTGATCAAAAAATTCAAAAAAAATGAAATTCCGCTTCCTCCTTCATTATATAGCGCTCAATTTGATTTTTGTTGTGTTCATGAAAGATAATTCAATATTCAATGCCACATTTCGTCGATAAGCTATAAAATAATTAGTGTTTTTGTGAATTTCAATTCTTCTAAGTCTGTTTCAATTTCCTATACTCTAAATCAATCAATCAACTTTATCAGTAATGGCGTATTAAACCAAAATCATAAAGATTTCTTGCCTTTTTTCATGAATGATTTTATTAATGAGAGAGTGGTAGCTTTTTATAAATGTTCGGAAATCAGATTAATTTTTTGTGAAAAAAATGCCGTTAAACGTTTATTGCCTATTTTTTGTGTGAATTTTGACTGTAATTGATTGAGCTATCAAAATTTTATGCCTTTTTTGACGTGATCGATATTGATTATTGAAACAGTCAGCAGAGACAATTGGAATTATTGTCATAATTTCTATTAGAGATAATTTCATTCATCCTTCATCTGTTCAAAATTACACATCAGTTGGGTTTGTCAACACTCATATCGTCATTAACGAGAGAACGTTTAGACTGTGGAATCTGAAAGCCAAGAATGAAAGAGTTTATTCATTACACAATAACAGGAGAAGCTAAGCTATTGTTCTACACTTCAGCTCAGTTGATAAGAGGAATCAGTTTAGGGTTTGAAGAGAGAATAGTATAATTCACTAGCAGCTTGGAAATGAACGAACGAACAGCAAGTACTTAATACAAGCTTAGAAAATGACGCGGGAAACATAAATTGAAGTTATTAAACAGGTAGTAATCCTACAATATGTATGTATTGTAGTGTAGACTAATATTTCCAGCCTACATATCTTTTCATAGCTTTCGAGACAAACCAGTTAATCTGCAATTCTCGAGTCATAGGTCTTTCGACTTTATTAATTATTCGCTTATAAAAGTGACTGTTTTTTTTACTTCTGCGTGGATGTGAATCGTTCACTTTGCCTTATCTCATATTTGGCTGACTTTTATCTGACTATAAGTCATGCCTTATTGGGTTGAGTTGGTCTACTTTCCTTCTCCACTTTGCATCGCTTTGCATTTCCGCTTTTATCTTTATATCTGTCTGCATGAATGATTTCATGAAATAAACTCAACCCAAATGAATCTGTATTTGGCTTCTCAATATTGCAGTCTCACAAACAAGGTTAGTTGAAGAGCACTGTCATCAGTATATTTCTATGATTCCAACTAAAGTCGTTCGTAGGTAACATGAGTTAATCTCAACTGAACACACAGTGTTTATTTCAACTTGATTAAAATGACCAGCTTGAAGAAGGAACTTGATTGACAAATGATTTGAAGATTTCAAACTATAAACTTTGAAATTCACTAACATTAACTTACTTTGTCATATTTATAAATCTACTGAACAAAACTTGTTCAACATTGCATCAGAATCCATGTCTTCTTATTTATCCAGGATAATTCTGATTAAAACAATTATATTTTGACAATAATTATCAACCTGTGTTAAAAAGAAATTCCCTTCAAAAAACCAGTTACAAGGACACTAACTACTTATTTCTTTTGGTTTCTTATCAAACTTGAAATGTATGACTTTCGGTTATCACATCTGTTCAATAACGGTATATCCATTAAACTAG